ATGGATGGTGGTGCTGTGGATTTGGTGTGGGGAGGTTGTGTTTCATACACAGCATCTTCTTGCTGTGTCCTCTTGTGGAAGTGATCCCTCCTGGGATCATCAGTGCCCTCATGAAAGTGCCCCCCAGAGCTCTGCGGCAGAAGGATCTGATCCCACTGTAGGCACCCCCCCCCATCACCGCCTGAGGCCCCACCTCACAACACACTGTTTTAGGGGTGAGGATTTCAACATAGGAGCTTTGGGGGAATCACAGACATTCAGTGTTATGGGTGGGACCACTTGGTATGTGGCCTTCACCGTGGCGGCGCGGTCAGTGGTCCGTTCCTTCCCAGTGCTGAGCAGCATTCTGTGTATGGGTTTCTGTGCCTGTGCACCTGCTGAAGGACCACTGGAGCTTCGGCTTTTTGGCTTTTAGGAGTAATGCTGCCGTGGTGCTCAGTGTGTGGTGAGTAATGGACAGAAGGCTCCACCCTGGTGGGCGCCCTGCCGTGGCCTGAGCGGGAGATGAGGGCCGGCAGGGCCTGTGGACAAGTCCAGAGTGAGGCGGAGTCTTCGAGGGGCTCCCACGCTGTCTCTGGAGGAGTGGGCTGGCTTTTCTCCCCAGTGGGCAGCTGTTGAACGTTTGGGAGCCTAAGGAGCGTTCCAGCCCAGATGTCTTTCAGGAGGAATGTGGCTGTGGGCTGGGCTGGCTGGGTCAGGGCGGGCCATGTGGGCTGAGGTTCGAGCTGGGGCCTGCCGCGTTGGGGCCACATGGCGGCTGGTGGGATGGGAGGGAGCCTCTGCCGACCAGCACCCCGGATGCGGGATGTGAGGTCTCAGGGGAACTAGGCATCCAGACATGGGGTGTGCTGTGTGAGGACCCCTGCGTCCCAGCTCCACAGCGCTGTGTGACGGGATGTGGCAGCAGCTGAGTTGGCAAGGGAGGCAGGGCGACTTGAAAAGCAGGCTGGGACCAAAGCATCTTGCAAAACCACACCTTGTCGCCTCGCCTGGCTTGAGTGCTGTCCCGAGCCTCGCCCTTGGCCCCCCACGGCTGGGCCAAGCAGTGGCTAGCACCTCATGGCCGCCAGAGGCCCTGGGCCACCTGGGCCTGGCTCGGCTTCTGCGGCCCAGGGCCCCTGCCTCCCTCTGCAGCCTCTCCTGGCTTCGGTGGGTTATGCAGGAGACACGGGTGGCTTCCACTCAGCTGGGGTGGTGCACACGAGTTATCACGCAGCCACCCAGTTGTGCACGTGCTGCATGCGTGTCTGTGTGCATGCCTGTGTGTATGTTCATGTGTGCATGCAGTGTCCACGTGTGTGTGTACGTGCGTTCACATGTGTGTGGTGTGCACAGGTGCGTGTGTACACATTGGTGCGTACGTCAGCGTGCAGGGGTGTGTAGGTGTGAGCCGCTTCCCTTCCCCATCAGTGTACCCGGATCGCCTCTGTAGAGCTCCATAAGGTCCTTGGCTGCGGCTGTCATTTTTGCCTTCCTAAAAAAAAAAGCAAAAAAGTCCAGATGCAGTTGCTCATTCCTGTAATCTCAGCACTTTGGGAGGCCGAGGCGGGTGGATCATCTGAGGTTGGGAGCTCAAGACCAGCCTGACTAACATGGAGAAACCCTGTCACTACTAAAAATACAAAATTAGCCAATCGTGGTGGTGGGCACCTGTAATCCCTGGTACTTGGGAGGCTGAGGAAGGAGAATTGCTTGAACCCAGGAGGCAGAGGTTTGATGAGCCGAGACTGCACTGTTGCATTCCAGCCTCGGCAACAAGAGTGAAACTCCGTCTCGAAAAAACGCCACAAAATCCCCAAACAGTAGTACCCAGCCAGTTCTCATCTGGGCAGTGACCTGTGGCTTTTCAGACTCCTTTCTGGCCATCTTGGTCTTCTGGCATCCTTGCTGAGCGCTGAGGCTCGCTTGTTTCATAGTTCAGGAGTTTATGGCCTGAGGGGCCTTGTGACTTGGGTGCAGAGTTACCAAGGGGTGGTGCCCTCTGACCCAAGTGCAGGGCCCTGCTCGCCTCCTGCTGCTGTGCAAGGCCCGTACCAGGGGCAGTCTCGACGTGCGTGCTGGTCCTGTGCTGGGGTGTAGCGTTAAGCACGTTTGGGGCCCGTGCCAGGGGCGGGCTTTTATTGTGCTGCTCTCGTGTCAGATGTGGCTTTCTGTGTGTGCTGTTTGCTATTTCCAGGTGCTGCACCCTTCCAAACAAAGCCGCAGAGTGGCCATCTTTTATAGTAGCGTTTTGTTAAAAATAGAGCCTCAGCCACGTGCGGTGGCTCACATGTGTAATCCCATCGCTTTGGGAGGCTGACGTGGGTGGATCATGAGGTCAAGAGATTGAGACCAGCCTGGCCAACACAGTGAAACCCCATCTCTATTAAAAATACAAAAATTAGCTGGGCGTGGTGGCATGCGCCTGTAACCTTCGTGGGCTTTCTGGACCTACTTGGGAGGCTGAGGCAGGAAAATCACTTGAACCAGGGAGGTGTAGGTTGCAGTGAGCTGAGGTCGCACCACTGCACTCCAGCCTGTGGGCAGAGTGAGACTCCGTCTCAAAAAAAAAAAAAAAAAAAGTCTCACCTGGGGTCAGTCCTGACCCACAGGGGACACTGGCAGTGTCTGGGGACATCTGTGGTTGTCACAGTTCAGGGGTGGTGCTCCCGATGTGCAGTGGGTGGGGGCCGGGGATGCCGCTGAGCACCCCGCAGGGCCCGGGCCTGAGCACCCATCAGCAGAGCGAGTCCTCAAATCGCATCCCCTCCGTGCCTGCCACCGCCCTTCTCTTCAGGGTGTGCTGAGGGGGGGTGTGGGGGTCCCTCTCGGGAGAAGGCGGTGTCACCTGCACACTCACCCTCATGCCTCCTGTCCTGGAACGTGGGTGGGTTGGAGCTTTTGTGGATGAGATGAGGGCTGGAGGGCGGAGGACTACCTGCGACAGAATTGAAGTCCATTTTCTTTATTCTGAAAAGGACTCAGCGTGGTACAGGAAAGTGATGGGGAGAGGCGTAGGCCCTGGGGCTCCCTGATAGTGATGTGTCCGGCGTTTTGCGAGACCTCCCACAGGGAGCTCAGGTGCCGTGGGCAGTTCCTGGGCTTCCTGAAAGCAGCACTGTGTGTGGCCACTGTGGGCCACACGGAGCCTGTCTCTTCTCTAGGAGCTGCCAGGAGAGGGGGCCTGCGACAGGCACCTGCACAAAGATGTCTACTGTGGGCAGCAAGGAAGTTTCCAGAAAGTACGGGAGAGTGGTGTTGGGACTCGCAGGCTTTCTGGAGGAGAGGCTGTGAGAGGAAGTGAGCTGGGCCCCAGCACCAGGCAGCCTTTAGACAGCCGGGATTGGGACAGCACTGTGGGCAGAGGGGCCAGCTCAGGACGACGTGTGCGGAGGCGGGGGGGTGCCGGAAGATTCAGGGACAGCAGGTGCTGAAGGCCAGCCTGGAGAAGAGGGCAGGGGCGCTTTAGTGTCTAGGCCAGCGGGGGCATGAGCGGCGTGATTACTTGAGTAGGGAGTTGAGGCAGTCTCTGTTTAGGAAGTAGAAGTTAACTATTGCTGTGTAGTGCGGTCACCCCAAAACTTTGTACCTTAAATTAGCAACTTATTTCAGAGAGTTTCTGAAGGTTGGGAATTTGGGAGCACCTTGTTGGGTGGTCCTGGATTGGGGTCTCAGAAGCTGTAGTCAAGACAGCAGCCAGCCAGGGCCCCATCATCTGGCGGCTAGAGCGGGGCTGGGGGAGCCCTCGCGAGCTGGCCCCTCTAGTGGCTGTGGGTGGGAGGCCTCAGTTCCTCACCCCATGGGCCTCTCCGTGGAGCTGCTTGAGGGGCTTCACAACATGGCAGCTGCCTGCCCCAGAGCCTGTGACCCATGAGTGAGAGCGAGGAGGACACCCTGTGCCTTTGTGAGCTAGCCTTGGAGATGGCGCACTGTCACTTCCGTCACATTCTGTTCACTAGAAGTCCAGCCCGTGCTCAGCGGGAGGGAATTGGGCTCCAGTATTGGAAGGAAAGAGCATCAGAGGCACATTGTGCGCACATTGAAAACCCAGCAGTGGCATCCCGGTTTGTGAGCGTGAAGAAAGTGGGGGAACAGAGTCTCTGCCCAGGGGCTGACCGGGTAGTGAGAGGCCGAGGTAGGAGAGGGGCTTGGGTGAGGACCCCCATGTCACCCAGAATGTCTGGGGGCTCGTCTGGAGGCTGGGGTGAAGAGACAGCTGGCTGCTGGGCCCTTTCCCGATAGTTTTTCCAGGCTGACTTGCTGATCCTTTGGATCCTCTGGGGCTCTGGGAGCCTCAGTGTGCCCGTCTCTGAGATGGGGCGGTAGTGTGCTCATGCCTGGAAGCGCTGTGGGTATTAGCAAGGTCATGGCCGGCATGGAGACATGGAGTGGTTCAGGGACGTGCTCAGGGTCACCCACGGCAGGCACAGCGGTCCCAGCTGACCCCGCCACATCACCAGGAGGGAGAGGGGAGCAGCTTGTGGGCGCCCGGCGCACAGCGGGCCAGGTATGGCTGTGGCGCTGAGAAGGCTCCGGGGAGGGGGGCGCCCAGCCCTCGGGGTGGTGCTGAGACATTCCCTTGGGGTGAGCCCATGCGGCAGGGTGCTGCCCCACCAGCGGATGTTGCTCATGAACTGGCGTGACCGTGGTGGAGCGGCACAGTCCCAGCTGTGGGCCGGTGCCCTGCGACTTGATTTGGCTTGAGACCTCGTGGTCTTTGATGTAGATACCAAACTGTTGGCCCCAGGAAAGTGTGTTCTTGCAGAACTTCTGGAAAAGGTGGTTCCAGTAAGACCCTGGCTTGGTGGAGGATGGCTGGGAAGGGCACTTTTTAAACTGTTCCGGAGGCATCGGGGCCGCGGCGTCTGGTGGAGACGGTCAGCCTCACGCACCTTGGTTTCCGTGCTGGGTGCTACAGCACAGTGGGGTCTGGGTAGGAGGGGCGGCAGCGGGAGAGCCAGGCCCCCAACTGCTGCCCGTCCTCACGTGCCCTGTCCCGCAGGCACGGGCGAGAGCGGGAAGAGCACCTTCATCAAGCAGATGCGCATCATCCACGGTGCCGGCTACTCTGAGGAGGACAAGCGCGGCTTCACCAAGCTCGTCTACCAGAACATCTTCACTGCCATGCAGGCCATGATCCGCGCCATGGAGACGCTCAAGATCCTCTACAAGTACGAGCAGAACAAGGTGAGCGCGGCGTGGCTGGTGTGTGCGGCCGCCCTGCCAGGGTGGGGCTGTGAGGGGTCCTGGCCGGCCCAGGTTACCCTTGCTCACCTGGCCGTTTCTGTCGTGGACGTGGAAACAGCAACCGTTACCTTCCTGGGGACCGACTGCAGAGTTAAGATGGGCATTGCCTGGCCCAGCCCCACACTTCCCTCCCAAGTCTCTGTGGGCGCTGCACCCTGCGGGTGGGGAAGCTGAGGCCTGCGAGGTGAGCTGCTCGCCCAGGCTGCCTCGGGAATAAGCAACACAAGCCCCTGGTTCCGGGTCCTTCCCTGGGCCGACCAGCCTACCGGACACCTGGGGTCGACCCACACGGTCAGCCCATGGGGCTGCACTTCTCACCTTCTCGCCCTGGTGTTTTTATTCTTTGAAAACAGTCTCGCTCTGTTGCCCAGGCTGGAGTGCAGTGGAGCGGTCAAGGCTCATGGCAGCCTGGACCCCTGCGCTCAGGTGATCACCTCAGCCTCCCTAGCAGCTGGGGCTGCCGTTACCACGCCCAGCTGACTGTCGTGTTTTTTTGTAAAGATGGGGTTTCCCCTTGTTGCCCAGGCTGGTTGTGAACTCCTGGGCTCAAGCAGTCCTCCTGCTTTGGCCTCTCAAAGTGCTGGGATCACAGGTGTGAGCCACTGTGCCTGGCCTCCGCCCTCATTTTTTTTCCTATTCTTTTAACAAAGTAGAAGTCCTTTGATGCCCTGTTTTCAGTAACAACTTTATTGAGCTTTAACCAGCATTCTACGCGCTTCACTTGCTTCGACTGTCTCTTTTGGCGGCTTTCGACATATTTGCATAGTTGTGCAGCCATCACCACTGCCTGATTCCAGAACATTCATCTTCCCAAAGGAAGCCCCGTCCCCGTCGGCTGTCACTCCTGACCCCCTCCTCCAGCCCAGCACCCACACATCCCCTTCCTGCCTCTGTGGGTGGGCCGGTCCTGGCCATTTCGTAGGAATGGGATCACACAGCATGTCCATTGTTGTCTGGCGGCCCTCACTGAGCGTGGCGTCATCAGGGTGCATCCGTGCAGGGGCCGGCCTCAGAGCCCTGCCCCTGTTCGTGGCTGAGTCCCCGTTCCAGTGCGTGGAGGGACCAGTGTTTGCCCATTTATTCCCTGGTGGACGTTTGAGCGTCTTCCTGTGTGGGCTGTCGGGAATGGATCTGCTGTGACTGTCTGTGGACGTGTGTTTGTGTGGACAGTGTGCTCCCTTCCCTCAGTTGTATCCCGGGTAGCAGAGTTGCTGGGTCTAGGGTGACTCTGGAATTGTCCTCTGAGAAGCCTCCCCCGTGGCTACCTGAGGGGCAGGCCCAGCAGCTGTGCCACCGTGGTTCCTGCCAGTGGTCTCTCTGGGCCCTTCCAGCCACGGGGCCACTGATCCCACTTTTGTAGCCCTGTTTTCCGGGGTGGGTCTGTTGCTTTTGGATCTTAGTTTACCACGTGCCCTGTCTCTGCTGTGATCCCTTCCAGCGGTGGTCTCTCTCAGAGTCCAGCTTCACATTTGGGCTTAGATTCCATCAGCATCTGAAACAGGCACCTGCAAACTGCAAACTGATGTTGTCGATAAAGTTTTATTGGCACGTGCCCATTTCTGCCATGTTGCCCGTGGTGCTTCGGCAGCAGCGGCAGAGCTGAGTGCTGGAGGCTGTCTGTGTGGTCGGCAAAGCTGGGCGTGCTCTCTGGCCCTCTACAGAAGCAGATTGCTGGTCCTGAATCTGGAAGTTTCCAGGGAGTGGGATTTTTGGGGTTTGTGTCTCTTTTTCCAAGTCCCCCGAGGTGTGCTTAGCCCAGATTGAGAGGCTGGTGGCAGGGCGAGGGGAGGGCTGAAGCTGGAGTTGGGGCCAGGGATCGTTATTCACAGGGGACAGCAAGGGCAGAGTCTCTGCTCTGGGGACCCTGGGAGGGCCCCACGGCTCTCAGAGCCCAGGGCAGGACTCCCTTCTTCCCCATCTTGGGTGCCACCCATTGGGTCCCCTCCCCAGTCCCTCAGGCAAACTGTGGCTGATTGTGTAGGCCTGTGTGCCCCGGGATGGGCACTCGGAGCAGGAGGAGGCGAATAGACAGCCTTCCCAGCGTCTGCCCGTGGAGGGTGTGTGTGTAAGCGTGTGTGAGCATGTGTGCGTGTGTGAACACGTGTGTGTGTGTTTGGTTGGCTTTCTTTTGTAGATGGGGCAGCAAACCTGTAGAAGGGGCACCTCATTCCCCAGACAGCAGGTGCCCGGCTGCAGGGGACACTCAGACGCTCATTTTCCCAGTGCGTCCGCTCACACCTGCACACCTGGTGCTTTCGGAGGCCAAGGCAGGGGGATCGCCTGAGTCCAGGAGTTTGAGACCACCTTGGGCAACACAGCAAGACCTCATCGCTACAAAAAACATTTTAAAAATTAGCCGAGCATGGTGCTGTGTGCCTGTGGACCCTGCTACTCTGGAGGCTGAGGCGATGAATCGCTCGAGACACCCGCAGCCCAGGGTTCCGTGAGGCAGAGGCGGCTCATGCGTTGGGCAAGGTATCAACTGTTGAGAGCCGCGGCTCAGGGGCCCGCCTGTCCCCAGGGCCAGGTGTGGTGCCTGCTCTTGATGGTCTTTGATAAGCATTTTTGGGACCCAAGAGAGAAGCCAGGCAGGGCGGAAACCGAGACTGGAGCCGCCCGCCTCGGGTTGCAGTGGCCTGTGACTCGGCTTCCGGCCTCCCGGTGTGTCTGGAGAATTTGGGGCAGTGAGTGCTGGGGTGTCGCCTGCTCCCCGGCCCCCATCGCCGTCTGTTCTGTGGTCGTGCTTGGCGCTGTCCCGCCCTCCTGTGGGTCCTCCCCTTGCTTGGGTTTGCAGTGTGTGTTGTTCCCCCCGCCATCCCCTCCCACCTCTGAGAAGCCAGCGGAAGCCTGGTCTCCGGGCACCCAGCGGACCGCCCCGCTGGGAGGCTTTGCTTGTGGGCCTTGTTGGGAGGAGCCGCACGGCGAGGCGGCCTGGCATCTTCCTGCCGCGTGTGCACACAAAGCTGTCAGTGGTCCTGAGCACGCAGCCTGCAGAATGCTGCCCGGTCCATCCAGGCCTGGAAGAGGGGCGATCACGAGCTTTCTCGTGGCTCTGTGGCCCCTGGCAAGCCTTTGGCCTCTCCCCCGCCTGCCCTCACAGGCCAATGCGCTCCTGATCCGGGAGGTGGACGTGGAAAAGGTGACCACGTTTGAGCATCAGTACGTCAGCGCCATCAAGACCCTGTGGGACGACCCTGGCATTCAGGAGTGCTACGACCGCAGGCGCGAGTACCAGCTCTCCGACTCCGCCAAGTAGTAAGTGCGGCCGCACGTCATGGGAGGGGCGGCAGCTACAGGCTGGCACTGGGGGCCCTTCGCGAAGCCCTCTGTAGCCCCCGGGGTGCCCCCTGCCCACTAGCCTAGGGCACGGATGTGGTGGGCCCCGGCCACCTTGCTGGACGGAGGGACCAGAGCAGACCCGGGATGGGCCTTAGCGGGAGCCGGGGGCCTCTGGTGTAGCACTGGCCTCCCTGTGCCCCTGGCCCTGCTGCCGCCCTCCCTGGGGGGACTAAGCTCCTGGCCGTCCGTGATGCCGGAGTCTGGCCTGTTGCCTCCAACCCATGGTCTCCTCCTAGGAAGGCTGTGTGATGGGGCTGGATGCACCCCAGCCCGTCTTGCTCCTGTCTGTGGCATCCCCCGCAAGGCCACGTCTCCCAGCAGTGACTGGCTGTGACCTTGACTGACGTTGGGGCCTGGGGTGTGGGAGACCTGTGTGCTGATGGGTGGCTGGGCCGTGGCTGCAGGCACAAGGCGGGCTGTGCACTGCTGCCTCTCCATGCTCTGCAGGCCGAGGCCCCAGCCCTCCCCAGCACTGGGAGAGACCCTAAGGGGACAGGGACAGGCCCATCCCCTGCCCCTCCTGCCTGTCCTCTCTGTGTTCCCTGCCTCTGGGGGACTGTGGGAGGGCCCAGATCACCAAGCACTTGGTACCAAATGCCAGGGCCTTTGGACAGAACCGAAAAGGTCTAAGAAGGCATGTGGCCTCCCCGGCGTCTTACAGCCCCACTCAGGACTGCCCAGGGTGTCAGAAATGGGAAGCTGTCACAGCCCAGAGGGCCTCAGGAGATGCTGCAGCTAAACGCTGTGTGGGCTCCCAGAGAGGGGTTGTGCGGCTGGGCAGGAAAGGGCATGAGGGGAAACTGAGGAAGCAGGAGTCAAGCACGGACTTGAGTAGCTGCGCTGTGTAGATGCTGGTCCACTGCTCATGGTGGGCGCCGCGCCCAGTGCAGGGAGCAGCAGGGAGACGGCGCGGGCTCTGCCGGGGCCTCTGCAGCCGGGGCGCTCGGGCGTGCCCTGCCCTGGGGCACGGTCTCCCGCTTGGTGGCCATCTCTGGGTGGCTCCAGGACAAGGCCCTAGACTAGCTGGAGTCCTCGTCCTGGGAGTTTCTCTTGTGCTGGGTCATTTCTGTCCCCCAAGGCCGCAGAGAGGAACCCGCGCCTCCTGCCCAGATGGAGCTGGGAGGCTCTCGCCTGACCCCGGGATCTCCCTGCAGCTGCTTCAGACCCTGCTTGGGGTGGCGCGGTGCACGGGCCACACCCTCCCGGTGGCTTCCCGTCCCCCTTCTGGTGTGCGTGCTGTGTCACCGTCAGTCCTGTCCCCCACCCCACGGCCAGCCCAAGTGCCCCCCACTGTGTTGCAGCTACCTGACCGACGTGGACCGGATTGCCACCTCGGGCTACCTGCCCACCCAGCAGGACGTGCTGCGGGTCCGCGTGCCCACCACCGGCATCATCGAGTACCCTTTCGACCTGGAGAACATCATCTTCAGGTACCGCCTGGGCCACCGCCGGTGGGGAGGGCACCTCGTTCCCCAGACACCAGACCCCCGGCTGCAGGGGACGCTCAGACGCTCATTTTCCCAGTGCGTCCGCTCACACCTGCACACCTGGCACTTTCGGAGGCCAAGACAGGGGGATCGCCAGAGTCCAGGAGTTTGAGACCACCCTGGGCAACATAGACCTCATCTATACAAAAAATGCTTTAAAAAGAGTGTGGTGGTGTGCCCATGAGTGTGGTGGTGTGCCCGTGGGCCCAGCTACTCGGGAGGCTGAGGCGATGAATCACTCGAGCCCAGGAGGTCGAGGCTGAAGCGAGCCACGATCGCACCATGGACTCCAGCCTGGGTGACAGGGAGACCCGGTCTCGTCTCAGTAAACGCAGAATGCCTGTTGGTCTTCATCCTCAGGCTGTTTGAGCAGGTCAGGAGACAGGGTTTATCTCTAAGTGTGTGTGAGCCAGGGCCACACAGGGAAGGCCCGGGCCTGGATGGAGCGAGCGTGGGGCTGGGGCCTGCAGTGCCAGCCGGAGCAGGGCCTGCCACAGGGTGCCAGAGGGGCCGTGGGCGTAGAGGCTGTGAGGGGAGGAGGGTCACGGGGACGGAGGCCGGGGGAGGGGGTCAGGGGGCCAGAGGCTGTGGGGGGAGGGGCTTCAGGCTGGGGAGGAGCCGGGTGGCATGGATTCTGTTCTTCATGGGCTGCCCCTGCAGATCCCACTGGGCTTCTGGGGCTCCAGGGTCCATCGTGGCTGGGGCCGGTCAGCAGAGCAGTGTTCTCCTAGGGACCCTCAGTGCTGGGAGGCTGCGCCTTCCCTGGAATGTGGGCCCTGCCCGTGTGGCTCCTGGCCCCTCGCACCGTCTCTAGGGCCGAGGTCCTGGCTGCTGTGGAGCCGCTGAGGGGCAGGACTGTGTGTGCCTGTCCCGGCTGCCGGTGCGGGGCATGAGGCTTCAACCGCAGGCCCAATTCCCACCCGGTGCTGGAGGCCAGAAGGCTGACATGAAGGTGTGGGTGGGGCCGGGTCCTTCGGAGGCCGAGGGGATCTGCCCAGGCCTCTCCCAGCTCCTGGTGGTGGCCATGTCCTTGATGTTCCTTGACTTGTGGCCGAGTTGCCCACCCAGCCCTCATCGTCACGTGGCGTCCTCCCTGCCTGTGCGGTCACCTCTGTTCTCTTCTGAGGACCCTGTCCTTGGCCAGGGCCCCCACCTCTGTGTGGCGTCATCCTAAACAGTGACATCTGCACAGACCGTCTCCGGGTGAGACCTGATCCCCAGGTTTTAGCATGTGTGGGGGTGCTAGCCGGCTCTGTCCTGGAGGGCCTCTCCAGCTGGTACCCTGCCGAGGCCGCTGTGAGGGTTCCAGGAAGTCTGTGGGGTTTTCCTTGAGGCCCCTGCCTTGCGATGCATCCCAGGACCGGAGGTGCCAACCCTGCCGTCCTCCTGTTCCCCCCACCCGTCCTTCCAGCCCCGCTTCCCAGTGCAGGCAGGGAGGACGAGGCTTGAGGACGGAGGCAGGGCTGGAGCAACGTGGCCTCAGGACAAGGAACGCCAAGCCCTGGGGTGGTTCCCTTGCGCCGAGCAGGTGCTGGGCCTCAGAAGCTGTGGCGTCCTCTCTGGACATGGGCAATGGTGGATTGTTATGAGAATTCAAGGTTTTTTTCTTTTTTATTCACATGGGGCCCATGACCCCAGGATAAAGCTGAGGCCAGCCGGGCACAGGCCAGGGTGTGGCATGAATGTCCCCTCCCCACCTCGTGTCTCAGGGTCCCCTTGCAGCCTCACACTGGCCTCTTCACAGCGCAGGCCTTCTGTGCCATCTGTCGGGAATGTCTGTGCCCTCCCTGAGCTCACTGCCTCCCCATGATCTCCTGGGCCGCTCCCGCTCCCGGCTGTGCCTTCTGTGCTGAGTGCAGAGCCCTGGCCTGAGCCCGCGCCTCTGCTGCCATCGTTTCTCTGCCAGCCGCCTCTGTCCACCACAAGCCGGCGGCGGGCAGCCCAGGTGCTCTGGGACAAAGCTGGTGGCCTGGTCTATGTCTGGAGGCCTTGAAGGCTGGTGGGACTGCCCCAGTGCACCAGGAGAGGCGCCTGCTCCCTCAGGTGGGGAGAAGACACTGGGGGCCCGAGTCCCAGCCTTGCTGGCCTCCACAGGCGTGCAGAGGAGGCCTTGCGCTCCCTGTCACCCTCCCGCCTGGCTGCAGCTGCTGGTGCAGGCCCTCCTGTCCCTTAGAGTCACCTGGCACGTCTGTGGTCCGCCTGTGCCTGCTGGTCTCCCCCCTGCAGACCAGACCAGGCGGAATCCGCCACTCGCATGCCAGGGCAGCCCCGCTATCCTGGGCAGAGATTCAGGGACCCCACCCTCCCTGGGGCCTGGGGCTGAGGCTTGAGGGGCCTCTCCGCTTCTGCCTTTGTGTTTTTTTCTTTTTGAGACGGAATTTTGCTCGTTGCCCAGGCTGGAGTGCAGTGGCATGATCTCAGCCTCCTGGGTTCCAGCGGTTCTCCGGCCTCGGCCTCCTGAGCAGCTGAGATTACAGTTATGCGCCACCACGCTCAGCTAATTTTGTATTTTTAGTCCAGACAGGGTTTCTCCATGCTGGTCAGGTTGGTCTTGAACTCCCAACCTCAGGTGATCTGCCTGCCTTGGCCTCCCAGAGTGCTGGGATTACAGGCGTGAGCCATTGCCTAGCCTGTGTCTTTCCTCGTTCCAGAAAACTTCGAAAAGTCACAAGTGGAAAGAGGTGAATCTCCTGTAACGGAGCCCTGCCCGCAGGCGGTGTCTGCACTGCTGTTCTTTCTCCCGCTGTGGCGTGTGGCTGCGTGTGGGGTTGAGCTTCTCACTGTGTGAGGCGTGGGCTGTGCCAGCCCTTCTCCCCAGGCGGAGGCTGGCAATTCAGCCCTCTGGAGCCACCACACCGTGGGGCGCTGTGGGGAGTGACTGTGGCATCAGTGTTGACTCCTGTGAAAGATGCGGGGTGAAATCTGTGCCCCTGACCCCAGCGAGGGGAATTGCCTCTGTGCTTAGGATGATGTCTGACGTCCAGACGCTGTCTGTAGGGTCCCAGGGCACCCACTGCAGGTTCCCGTGGCAGCTGGCACCCAGAATCCCCTGGGTTCTCATGTCCCCACCCTAGCGCCCGCTTCCCTGCGGCCTCTGGGCCCCTTCACCAGTGATGGAGGGGCCTGCGGCAGGCACTCCTGGAGGTGGCGCGCCCACTCTCGGGTGCATCCTTGACGGTTCCAACATTGGAAGCTCTTGTGCTGCAGCCGCCGTCCAGTCTGGTGTGCCGGGGGGGCCTGGCTGGGGGCCGTCCTTGGACAGCAGACTGGGCCTTGGGGGCCACAGGTGGCTGAGTCCTGGCACCGTGTCCCTCTAGGATGGTGGACGTGGGGGGACAGCGGTCAGAGCGGAGGAAGTGGATCCACTGCTTCGAGAACGTCACGTCCATCATGTTTCTCGTCGCCCTCAGCGAATACGACCAAGTCCTGGTGGAGTCGGACAACGAGGTGGGTGCCGCCCTGAGCAGGGCCAGCTTGGGGAGCCGGGCCTTCCCCTCCCGCTGAGCCCGGATCCCCTCGGCTGTCCGCGGGTGCATGCCGGGGAATGGGGGCCTCTCTGATCCCTGCTGCGTTCGCTCCCACAGAACCGGATGGAGGAGAGCAAAGCCCTGTTCCGGACCATCATCACCTACCCCTGGTTCCAGAACTCCTCTGTCATCCTCTTCCTCAACAAGAAGGACCTGCTGGAGGACAAGATCCTCTACTCACACCTGGTGGACTACTTCCCCGAGTTTGATGGTACGTCCGGCGGCCGAGCTGGGGCTCATGGGCGGGGCCCTGTGGGAGGGAGGGGGCTCACGGGAAGGAGATCTCAGGTCTCATGAGGGGATTCCGGTATGGGAATGAGTTCTCCGTCATGGGTGCCTCATACCCATTGGAGGAGTCTGTGAGGCAGAGGGATCTCAGCTGGGAGGGGTCTCGAGTTGGGGGATCTCGGGTGGGAGGGGTCTCGGGTTGGGGGATCTCGGGTGGGAGGGGTCTCGGGTAGGGGGATCTCGGGTGG